GGTTGGAGCCGTTATTGGGAAAAGAAGCATCGCCCGCCGGCCCGGGCGAGCGCCGAGCGGGTCTACGGGTCTGACATCTGCTGGCGGTGCATCGGCGAGGTCTCCTCCGCGGCGCCCCGCCGGCTTCACGGTGCCGGTGCTGGAAAGAAAGGCAGCGGCTGTTTATTTGCGGGAGGGAGGTGGGGGGCGCCGACAGCCTGACCCGCTTCGAGCTTGGGTCAGTGGCCCGGCGCGACGTCGGGCCAGCGCGGACAAGGATAGGGAGCAAAAGTCACTGGGAAAGCTATTTAGAGCCGCTCCAGAAGTCGATTGAACGCCCCAAAGGTCACTTTTACGCAACCTAGAACCCAAGCGAGTACCCTTGGCTTTGTTTTTCCAGCATAAGTAGCTAACGTTTCGGGTTGAGAGTTGAAGGAACAACTCTTAAAACAAGAATTCTAAATCTGTGGGTGGCCTTTGTGTGCCAGATTGTGCGTGTTTGTGCGACTAAGGCCTGTAAAGTTTTTATTTGTTTTGATTTAAACCAGTAACAAATGGGTCTGCAACTTTTAAGGGTTTACGACAGAACTAGAGTTTCAGCAACCCGTGTGTTTTCTTTTGGGTAGATAGACATCTTAATCCAAGAGACGTGATACCAGGGCACATTTGAAAATTTTCCTGGCACGTCAAAAATCTCAATATATTGGAGCGCTTCTCTTCTGTTGGGAAATCCGGTGATCTTTTAAAGTGCTGAAACACTTGGACTCAGTAACTAATAGATACAAATAAAGTGGCAAACAGTATTTATTGTGTTACGCCAGAGCAACACCTGTACTGGTACTTTTATTAGAATGCTTGTGTGTTCTTTGCTTTTGACAGCTATCCAGTCAAATCCCTCTCTTAGGTTTTGGGGGTGTGTGTGTGTAGTAAATTTTATGATTGACTTTTCTGTTCCTATTTATATTCTACCTTTAGTATGCAAATACGAGTTATTCCAGTTTATCTTTCATTTTTAGATGACTCTGCCTAGCTTTCTTTTAATGTACTGTCCTTAATTTTGTATTATTTTAAGGTCTTATGTTCCTATGTGAAATTGAATTATTTTTAAAAGTTATACTTTTTGTCTTTATATCTGTTTTATATCGAGAAAATTTTGCCTTGAAAAAATTTTTATTGAACACCTTCCATTCTTTCCTTTATAGGTAGATGGTTTTCCCTCTAAGGTTTTATATGATACTTAGGTCCTCTTTAACATAATTATACACTTATATCTGTATTTTTTTTCATCCATGTCAGTAGCTACGGTATTCAGTACCCAGAGTGTTTGAGAATTCATTCATTCATTTCCTTCCTTCTGTCTTCCCAGACAAGTGTTTTGCTTGTGGAGCCGAGGCTGGCCTTGGAATCCCAGAGGTCTTCCTGCCTGAGCTTCCTAAGTGTTGGGATTTACAGGCAATCATCTTGATCTGTATTCTCCTTTAACTCAGAAAAGTTTGCAACAGTTATAACTTTTACATAGTTTGAACACTGTCCCATCTATTAAACCAGTGGTTCTCAACTCTTCTAATGCTGTGACCCTTTATTTAATACAGTTCCTTATGTTGTGGTGACCTCCAACCATAAAATTATTTTTGTTACTACTTCATAACTGTTATTTTGCTGCTGTTAGGAATCATAATGTAAATATTGTTTGGGAAAGGAGTCATGGCCCACAGGTTGAGAACCTCTATATTAAAGAAAGAAGCATTATCTTTTAGGGGTTTTTTGGTTTGGTTTGGTTTTTGGCTTTTCAACACAGGGTTTCTCTGTCTAGCCCTACCTGTCCTAGAACTAGCTCTGTAGACCAGGCTGGCTTCAAACTCACAGAGATCCACCTGCCTCTGCTTCTGGAGTACTGGAATTAAAGGTGTGCACTACCACCGCCGCTGCCGCCGCCACCACCACCACCAGACTCTTAAGTACTTTGAACTCTAAAAAGCCTACTCTTTGGTTACCAGGAGATCTGTAGACATCATCTCTTAACATCAAGAGACCTAATTTTTTCCTGATTTTTGGGTTTTCTGGTAGGTTTTTGTTGTTGTTTTGCTTTGTTTTTGATAATTTCAGTCATCCTTGTCTTACTCTTGCCTATGAATGTCTTCCTCCCTTCACCCCCTGCTGTCTGCTTTCACTATTTTTCTGATTGTTTTGCATTGTGAACTGTTTTTAGGCCTCCTATGGTTTTCTTTGTATTATTCTGGGTTGGAGTCATAGGAATACTTAGGTCTGACTTTGGTACCTTTAATGAATTTTAGAAAAAAATCTTAGAACATTTCTTTGGCTTGTCTATCTGTCTCTCCCACACACACACACACACCTTGCCCCCTCCCTCTCTCTAGGTTTTTTAAGACAGGGTTTCTCTGAGTAACTGACTGTCCTGGAACTCATTTTGTAGACCAGGCTAACCTTGAACTCACAGAGATCCATCTGCCTCTGCCTCCCTTAGTGCTGGGATTAAAGGCATGCCCCACCATGCCTGGCTTTGTTGTCTCTTTATAGACTCCCTGTCTTTAATTTTTTTTTCTTTTTGTCTTTTTGAGTCAGTCTTAATAAATTGCCTAGGCTGACTTCAAACTCAAGATCGTCTTGCGTCAGCCTCCCAAGTACTGGATTATAGGCTTAACAACCCCAGCTGGCTAAGGCAGGGTGTTTTTGTTTTGGGTGTGTGCGCGCGCGCGCGCGTGTGTGTGTGTGTGTGTGTGTGTGTGTGTGTGTGTGTGTGTATCGAGAGGCCAGAGGTCAACCTCAGAAGTCTTCCTTTATGACTCTGACTTTATTTTTTGAGACAGGGTCTTTAACTGAACCTGGAGCTAGCCCATTAGGCTAGACTGCTGGCCCAGAAGACCCTGGGAACCTCCTGTTCTCTCATCTCTGGGATTACAGGAATATAAATAAGTGCAAAGGATCAAAACTCAGGTCCTCATGTTTACACAGCAAGGACTTCACCTACTCAGCCATCTCCCCAGCCCTAGGCCTTTATTTCTTGATGGACCCTGTATCCCATTGAACCAGTCAGAGTTCATACATTGAAACGTTTTGTGTTTGTTTATAGTTTCCTTTGGGTCTGACTTTATGTCTTCTGTGATTTGCTGAGAAATCCTTTTTGTTTTTAATATACTAAGCATAGTTTAAGTTTAAAAGTCTGCTCCAATTTCTGGATTTCCCTATAGGTATGGAACTCTTCGTTTTGTCTGTTGTTGCTCTTTTTTAAAAATACATATTTTTTTTCATTATACTGGCCGATTATTTTTTAAATGAGAGCTGAACCTTACATATTGGTATTTAAGATGAACTGAGACGGAGGAATTTTGTCTTCCTCTAAAGTCTTACTTTTGGCCAGTTGTCAGGACACTAGCAATCTAGGGCTACTTTAATCTAATCAAGGATCCAGCTGATTTGAAGTGTGTTTTTTAGACCAAGGCTGGTCTATATGCTCTCAATCTTTTCTCCTTTACTTAAGGCCCCAATGTGAACTGTGGTGCTTTACTCCTCCTCTTTAGGACTCTGATCAGTAGTTTGTATCCTTTAGTTCTTGCTCCAGGCATTGTGTTAAACAGCACTAAACTGTTTGCATCAACCATCTCTTCCTGGATTAGCCACTGGCCTAGAGAAAATCTGAAAATGTTAAACTCTGGATTTTTTTTTTCTTCTTAGATCCTGACTTTAATTTTCAGTACCTTGTTCTCTAATGCTTTAAGCAAGATATTTTTCTTTTGTGACCCCCCTCAACTGGCTTTCTAGTTAGTTGCTTCTAGTTAAGTCTGATTACGAAATCTACCCTTAGTTACAGTTCTCAGGTTTCCACTCTCTTCAACATACAGCAACTCATTTTCCTTTTGGGCCATACTTACCAGACATCCTGTAAAGCTGTGATGACATATCTAAAATTCCTAATACATTTCTTTACATGTTTTTATTTCATTTGTTTGTTTGTTTGTTTGTTTGTTTTAATAAAGCTCTTGCTATGTATATGTGGCCTTGGCAGACCGGGAACTTGATATGTAGACTGGCTGGCCTCAAACTCACAAAGATGTACCAGTCTCTGCCTCCCCAATGCTGATATCAAAGGTGTGTACCACCATGCCCAGCTTATTTGACTTTTCTTTCTAACATTTTTTATTAATTTATTTTTTATATTCCAATTCCAGTTACTCCTCCCTGCTCCCCCTACTCTCCCCATCCCACCTCCCATCTGCTCCTCGGAGAGGGGTAAGGCCCTCCCCTAGGAAGTCTACTAAGTCTGTCCAACATCTTGTTGAGGCAGGATCAAGGCACCTCTCCACACCCCACTCCCCTGTGTCTAGGCTGAGAAAGCTATCTCTCCATATAGAATGAAGCCAGTTCACTAAGTCAGTTTGCACATTAGAGTTAGAACTTGAACTCACTGCCTGTGGCCTCATATATTGTCCCAGCCACACAATTGTCACCTATATTAAGGGAGTCTAGTTCTGTCTTATGCAGGTCCCCCCTGTCAGATCAGAGTCAGTGATCTCTCACTAGCTCAGGTCAGCTGATTGTGGGGGTTTCCCCATCATGGTCTTGACTCCTTTGTTCATATTATGGCTCCTCCCTCACTTCGATTGTACTCCAGGAGCTTGGCCCATTGGTTCGTTGTGGATTTCTGCATCTGCT